CGCTCGAGTATAGGATATGCCTTTGTTTACTAATAGAAACGTCACTTCGGTCTTAAGTTTAAGTATTTTACTGCATAAGCAGATAAATAGCAAATTCGGATCTAATTTCTTAAAGGTAGGGTTTTGAAGACTAAAATGGGCGTCGCCAGCCGTTGCCATCTTGGCAGCGCGTCACTCCCGGATAATCGAAACCTGTCACTCAAGTGGCCACTCCCTTAATAAGCAGAACTTTAAGGCGTAATATAAATTAAACGGACGAGTTCATGTCATGAAGGGCAAAATTAGCTATATAGTAGGGATGCACAAATAAATTCTTGGCCGAAGCCGAAACCTAACAAAATGAAACACTGGGCCGAATACCGAACACGGTTTTTCGAGTTTCCCCCCCACCCCATGTATTTTGCCAATTTTTTTTTCACCATTGCATAAATTAAATAGCCAAAATGTGCTTTTTACTGTTTTGTCTTGCTTTTCAAAGAAAAAAATCAATTAAAAAAAAAACATTTTTTTTAATAAATATATATTTTTTTTTTATATTTAACACTGAACATTTTTTTTTACATTCTAGCAGACATTATACCAACAAATAACAATTTAACTTAAAATGAATGAGTTAGTAAAATAATATTTTTTGGCCGTCAGACCTCCTTCTTGAATCAGGCATGTATTTTTTTTACTGTACAAATAAAAGCAGCCTTGCTGAGAAGAGACTTTTTAAAACATTAGAAAATATTACAGATCCCAATTTGAACACTATGTGTGTAGGTTATAATAAATGTATTAACAGAGCGGTTGTAATTGTCTTACTTTTTTATTTTTTCAGAACAACAGTAAAATTACAATACTAACATTTATGAATGTCGATGGAGTTCTTTCTTTTTCTCAACTTTTATTTTGGCGGAAACGCGCAGGAAGACCTCAATGCTTTTTGTTGACAACAGCAGATTTATAAATGAGTCTCATTACGAATACGTCACACGTATCACTTTGTCACATGCCTTGTAAAAAATCATAAAAATGTGTGAGCAACTGACGAGTAATGACAAAATCCTGCGACAAAAGCACGACAAATCCCTGACAGTAAACTGCTGCCGCGTTCTATTTATGACGTATTGACACAAATTTCAAATGATTTTCAACTGTCGCTTTGTCGCATCCAGTGTAGACAGACTTTTTAGCTGTTGTGGCGTAATGTGTCACTTTGCACTGGTTGCTATTTGATAGCGTCACGTCATTGTTCGGCAGTTTATTCAGTCTTTTCTCTTATTCAGCTGTTTTTATAAGAGCTTTTTTTTGCTATTTTCGGCCAAATAATTTAGGTTGCCAAACATTCTGTGCATCCCTACTATATAGACCAAAACCCATTTTTGTACCAGGCTGTAAACATTTTTTTCTGCTGTAAAATTGGGCATTTTAACATGGGGGGGTTGGGTCTATGGGATTGATTCCCTTTTGGAGCCAGTCAATGAATTGCAGTTTAAAGGACACCTATTATGCCCCTTTTTATAAGATGTAATATTGGTCTTGGGTGTTCCCAGAATGTGTCTGTGAAGTTTCAGCTTAAAATACCCCACAGATCATTTATTATAACATCTGGAAAATGTCATTTTTGGGGCATGTCTAAAAAAACTATTTTGGTGTGCATCACTTTAAATGCAAATGAGCTGCATATTCCCCCACATGTCTACATCGCACACCTACAGTAATAAGCAGCCAGTAGAAACAACATGACCGAGCGAGAAAACCGGTGTTCAGCCGTATACATGGGAAGCCAAACACCAAAAAGTGTGACAAAACAGCGCGAGGTTAAAGAGCTCGCACCACGCTGACCTGTAATCGGCGCGTCTCAATGGACCGAGCCACGCCACCGACTCGACAGCGCAGGGAGGACGTGTTTGCTAGCGCCACCGAACTATCAGCGCCGCTAACTAATCTTACCAGCATGACACTGATCAATTAAAATACTTCAATAACATACGCGCACACAAATGCTTATTAATTTATTATTTTTAAATGTAAAATTTATTTTAAAATGGTATTATTTTATGTTCTCTCTCACAGACGCCCACACAGTACAGACACGCACTCGCGCGGAGATGCGGACACAAACTTGTTGTCAGAGCTGCGGCTGCCCCGTCTCTCTCTCTAATAACTGCGTTAGCCTGCATATCAATGGCTCAAGCCACTGTTATTAGCTCTAAAATGACGTTTTGGAATTTGCGACGTAAGGTTTGGGATAAGGTGCGTAAAAAATTAGCTAGTTCAACATACACGAGATTTCAGGACCGAAACATGTCAAATGTCTCTAGGCCGTTAAAATTATTAGAGAAACTAGATAAAAAAGTTTGTCAAGTTTAAACGTTGCCTGTAAAACAATCTGCATTCACTTTCATTTTGTCAGCAAGGTTGCCAAACCTGTTTGGAGAGGGGGAAAAAAACACCTCATCATGTAGTTTTTAAAGTTTGGTCGTAAGAGTGACGAGACTGATTTGATCAAATA